CATCGAAAAAGTAAGGACCAAATACAACTTCCAAAATAATGTATCCTATGGGCTAGGCTAGGAGAAAATGATCTTCTGACATCAGGGCCCTCTTCAAAGGACTTTCCTACAGATCTTACTGACCGGATGAATTCATAAAAGAAAAAGCAGCCTCTCAGAGAGGCTTCTTCTGAGAGAGGGCATTTAGGGCTCTAAAGGCTACTAATAATTTCTCCCATGGTACCATGTAAATAATTAACAACCGGTACAAATGTCATGAGATCCCTGTGTCCTATACCAGTTAGCAACTCGCTGCTGCATTTAATTTGGAATCAAATGCAATTTACAGATACAAGTGCAACCTGTGCAATTCCATTTACAGTACACTGTAATACTGTAGTCTGGACAGGATGGAATCAGGATGCAACCTGCTAGAAATAGATTTCGCTGAACCTCAGCAAGGCAAAGGAGATGGGGTTAGACTTCTGGAAAAAGAGAGAGGAACCCGTCCCCCTTTACATCGAGGGGAGCTGTGCGGAGAGAGTTTCCTCCTTTAAATTCCTGGGAGTCTACCTCAGCAAAGATCTTACGTGGAAAATCAACACAACTCAGAAAGGCCCAACAGAGACTCCATTTCCTTAGAGTCTTGTGAAAGAATACCATGGTGTGGTATGCTGGCTTGACAGCAGCGGATAGAAAGACATTACAGAGGGTAGGGAGCACAGCACAAAACATCGTGGGCTGTTCCCTGATACCACTAGATGACATCACTAGGACTCAGTGCCTTAGAAGAGTGAGGAAAATTCTCAGGGACAACTCAAATCCCAGTCAGCACTTCTTCCCTCTCCTACCATCAGGGAGGAGATATAGAAGCATAGCCAGCCGCACCAACAGGCTGAAGAACAGTTTCTACCTGTGGGCTGTCAGACTTCTGAACAGAAAATAACTTCATGTCAACATAGTATGATAGACTTGCAGGGCCAGCGCACTGTGCAACAAGGTCACATAATGTAATAAGATTGGGACTGGGTTAGGGACTTCTATCCTCACTGTGAGTTGTGTTGGGGGGTGCACAAAAGGAGGCTCAGCCAATCTCATTGTACACATGTTGTACTCTGACAATAAAGGTAATAATAATACAAGTTAACAGGTAACTGTTATCAGACCTGAACAATGGCCACAGATGGAGCTTCAGCTAGAAAGGGGCTCTATGATGCAGCCGCTATCTGTGAAATTAGTGGCAGTAGAGAATAGAGAAAAGCTGCCAAACTGTGTCAATTTTTTTCAAAGGGCAGAATGATCCTATCTAAAAAAGGCTCAAATTCAATCAATGTCCAGTTTTCTATGGTATCAATAGCATCTCTCCCTTATTTGGGTTTAATTTCAACTTGTTCTTCTCATTCAACATGGGTTTTTTTAAGTATTGTTTCAAGAGAATATCGGTGTGGAAGATAAGTTGCTCCTTTGCTGCAGAAGAGTCTTACTGGGGAGAGCAGCAATATCAATAATTGCTTAACTGTATCCTTTATTTTGCTTGCAACAAGGAACATCCTGTTTTTTAATTGTCACTGATATATGAGGCCCACTGGTTGTAATGGTATGTGGAAATAATCTTGGGTGGCAGGAGTTAGCTCCAGTCCAAACCATTATGCAAAAGATATCTCAGCCTACGGAAGAAAAATGGGTATGGAAAGCATCTCAGAAGGGATCCTCTGTAGTTTTCCAGAAAGACTTCCAAGATTTTATTCTGTAATCTTACAATAAAAATAGTGTGTTAGTATTCATAATTTGTGCTTCTTGTCCGGACTATCTGAAAGGGCTGACACTGGTCTACTTTTATCCAATAATTTTCCTACAAACTGCTTCATTTTGTACTTTACTAATACGATGCCCTGAATTCCTTGGCAAAAGATGAAAAGTAATGAGTGAATAATTAAAGGGTCCACAATCTCTGCCTACAACCATCATCTTAGAAGAAAGGGATGGCAACATTATTAATTTGTTTCAGGAAAAGGATTAGGAAACCTTTGTAACTCTTATGGGCTGTTTAATTTGCATCTTTAATAAGCTCAGATGAGCAGCTCTGGTAATAAAAGTTTACCCTTGGATTGCTAGTTAAAGATGATCATAAGAGACAATCTTTATATTAGATAACTCATTAGAGAGAAAAGGTCAGAGAGATGGGTATCAAATATGAAGTTTAAATAAACTAGGTAATGCTGTACTGAAATGAACAGATTATGTTTTCCTATTATAGGGACTGTCTCATAAGTAAGGGATGTTTTCCTTCCAAAGTGCCAGGTTGGAAAAGAATGAAAGGACAAAGCTATATTTTATTTGGATGTGAGTATCAAGGAAAGGTAAATAGGAATGGGCAAAATGCATGCAAAATATTAAAATAAACACAAGTTTCTTTTTCTGCTCAAGAGTAATGAAATCCCAATTTTTTTCTTTAACCTTATTCAGTTTCCTATATAACCAGAGATAAAGAAATGTGCCTTATTATACAGAGAAATTTTAATGATAATTATGAAAAAGGTGGTTATGTTTAAAAGAAAAATAAAGTGGCTTAATGGCAATGCAGGCATTATTTACTTATATTCTGTCTTGCTATGAATGCAAAGGAAGTTAAGAGTAGCTGTAAATTTGAAATGGATCCATGCATGTTGTTAAAGAAACTTCCAAGCTTCTTCAGAAGTCTTGCATGATTGCCCAAGACAGATGAATGGAAGGGAGTTCTCCTTGAAATGAACTATTGAATATAGAAATATTACCAGTCAAACTCTTTGCCAGGCATAGACAGCTCTGGCTAAGATACATATTTGGCCTTTGAGTGGCATACTAGGAAGTTCATTGCAAAAGTTGTTAAAACTGACCAGTTTTGATTTGATTTGTATTTAAATATTAAATATAACTCTTCGTGTATTTAATTATCCCTTCTGTCACATCAACAATCACAATCACAACACCCTTTTGAAGGCACTGTAGGCTACAAGTGAGTGCTGAGACTTGGGGCCTAAAATTATGCACTTGTGTATGAACAACCCAGTTGCTGTGAAGACAACTTTCTGAGTTATGATTGTGGAGACTGTGTATTATACAAACTTTGCACTAAACACGGACCATACCCACTGGTATTATCCATTGGTTGGGTGGCCAATAAATTTAATAATATCAGAACTGATAGAACCACAAACTAGATAAAGTAATAAAAATGAAGACGCTAAAATGCTCTGGGACTTTAGAATACAAACAGTCAAGCACATACCACACAATACCCCAGACTTGAGAAGCATGTGCCACACAACATCCTAGATGTAACAACTATCGAGAAGAAGGACAAAAAAAGTCTCAATAATGGACAGCAGAAGAGAAGAGAAAAAACTGGTGAAAATCACAAAATACAAACACCTGCAAACAGAAGAATGACTATGGTAAAAGAAAGCAAAAATAGTGCTAGGCTTCCTTTTGGTGAAATCCCCAAACATCTGGAGTTCCATTTGAACACCGTCAACATTAATAAAAGTCACAATTGATCAATTGCAAAAGGCAGCTTAACTTGGAACAGCTCATATCCTGTGACAATACCTTTAATGTTATCAAACAACATCTCCCTATCTCAGATCCTTGAGAAGGACACGATAGGTGGATAAAGTAGCCAAATCCAATTTAAATATCTGGCTGACTGTATGACCAATCATTAACTAACTGATACATAATACTTAAGCATGGGTACAGGAAATGTGGTGAATATTTGTGAGTCTGGTTTACATCTAAAAGGCAAGGCCCCAAAGAAGTACATTATGAGGCATTATACCTCCGAAAGATCTATGAATGTCTAAAAGTCTTGATGTCTTACAGTATTGTTCACACTTCAGTTTAATAGGTGGGTGGGTGGAGTTTTCAATGCAACAGAATGTGGGAAAGAAACTATTTAACATGACTCAGGATTCTGAGCATCTATCTGTCCAGCAAGATAATTCTCCCCCCAAAATGCAACAAGTGGAGGAATTGAGAAAGTAAAATTAATGAGATGGGCGGGACAGACTTGAACATGGGCCAAAGGCTACGGAGAAGAAAATTCCAAAAGAAATTTCCTAATGCAGCAGAATTATTACTTAGACTGGAATTCTATTCTAAGCCTCCTCCTATGTTACTCAGAGTGGAGCATGTTCAGCCTGTCCTGCGTTTCCCAATGACACGTACATACAAACACACAACATGAGCGGAGAACATGAACAGACACACCTGCAGCTCATTACTTTGTTATGCAGAAGAAAATTCAGATGCCTCCTATGCCTGCTCATGTGGTAAGAATATGAAAAATAAATAAATCCGGAAGCCATTTTCTTCATGCTTTCTTTACCTCTATTACCTCTATTTCTATTACTCTCTTTTGCCAAGAACAGGCTAAAATTTTCCATGTTTGGATTGGTATTAGAATTCAAATGGTGGAAATACAAGAAAATTACTCTAATAAATCTTTTGCCTAATAAGCCTGCTAAAAGGCTTGAAGCATAAAGTAGCATTTCCCTTTGTTCACAGCTCTGCATTGAGGTCTTTTCATGAAGTGTGGGATACAGAAGCTAGTTTTTTTAAAAAAATACAATCATATTATAATATGCTAGTTTTTTAAAAAAAATACAATCATATAATCAACTCCACATTTAACAGGAAAATTGTGCAGGTAGTCCTTGCTTAGCAACTAGTTGCTTAATGACTGTTCAAAGTTACAACTGATCTTCCCAGAGCTAATTATGACCGATTTTGAAGTTCTGATAGCCATACCCACGGTTGCAGGATCACATTTTGGATGTTGACAACCAGTTTCTATTTACAACTGTTCGCACTGCCACAGTTACGTGAGTCATGATTTTTGGTGTTTGCAGTTTCCAGCATTTACTTCAATTACAGTCATAAGTTGTGAACAAACTGTAAAATTGAAATTACTTGAAAACCGAGGACTTTAAATGGTTTCCATTTTGGAGGTATGTTTTATATCTATAAACAAAGTAACTTACAACTTTTGAGTTTCAGGCCACAGTGTATTCTGCAAGAGATGGTCTTCTGTGGGAGGTTCTGAAAGAAATAATTTGATTCAGTATTGGTGTCCTTATCCTGAACTGGTCAAATTGTCAGCTGTTTGAAGAACCAGCTTTGCTCCAGGATTAGGTACTGAATTTAACATATTGCATACCTGAAAGATTACATGGCTGAAAGTAATTTTCACGGTACTGTCTGGAAGAATTACTGAGATTTTCTTCTTCAGTTGTTTGAGCTCTTGTATCTGCAGCTGCAAACGTACAAATGTTATTGCTTTAAAAGTCACCAAGTATGAAATCTGCAAAAAGACAGCATCCGTTACCAAGCACTAAACAGAAAGAAACAGCTCCAGCTTCAAGATAAAAAGAGTCAAAAGACAAGTTAAGCCATAATATAAACAGCATGAGAAGGAAAATCAGAAGATATTGCACTGCATGTTAAAATAATTGGGCCTCATGATGCAAACCATGACAGGAGCTGGAATAAGTTAAACTCTCATAACAGGATGAAAGAAAGAAGCTGGTATAACAATGCATTCAGATTTCCTTACACTCTTAAAAGGGATCATGATGGAGAAAGTGCACAGTATGAAAAGATAAGATGAGTTAGAACCATTCATTCATTAATGATGTATTCTTCAAACTGCTGGACTAGGAACAGGGACAGCAAAGTTCTAGTCTACTCTCAGTCAAATATAATGAACCAAAAGAAAAAAGTGGCAAGATAAAACATTTGCGGAAGAGGAATTCCAGTCATCCAGAATTACAATAATCAACTATGCAATTGTATTTACTCTTCAATGGCTATGTACAAGCTTACATTACAAGGTAGTAATTCTCTATATTACAGGGTTAGGCAGGAGTTTGAATTCAATTCCAAAAAGGTGCTTTGGGGCTCGGACATAGAACCTCTTTTCTCATGACAATATGGCTCCTGTGATGGACTGCCAGTCAATTCTTGGAAAAGACAGGGCTGCTTTAAAGAGCTACATTATGCTGGGTACTATGTCATGCTCCCAAATGTTCCAAAGTACCTTTTGGAACTGAATTAAATCTCAATGTCCAAAAATATAATCCACAGAACTCAAAAGGAATTTTCAAAAATGTGGCATCGGACTGAGAGGAATCCAAATTTTAGTTTTCCATCATCTGCAGAAGTTTACTAGGTGATGCTGGGTTATTCACTTTTTCTAAGTATACCCTATCATATAAGACTGTTGTTGGGTGGAATAATAGATCTTATACTTAGATATAAGTACATACCAAATAAAAATACTAATTGCTGTATCATTTCTGCATATGTAAAGCTGAATGAAAAATACAGATGCACATATTAGTACATATTATTGCAGCACTTTGGATTCAAAGATGAAAATGTCTTTGGAGTGGATAGGGCATGCTCACATTGCACCTCTCTTCTACCCCTTAAAATAGCTATATTTTTACAGGATCACCGAGGTACCCTCCTCTGATGCAAGCTGATCGAGGAAAAGGTTTCATTTAAAAGAAGTGTAGATGACTTCCATGTGAGCATCTCTAAAGTAAGTCCAAAGGACAGCTTGCCCTTACATGTCAAAAAACCAATGCAACTATTGTGCTCATGTAAATACTATTGCTTCGTTATCCTGTACAGTGGATGTTAGTTAGTGGAACATAGTGGCTCATGTGGTTAGGATACTGGGCTCATAATCAATCAGCAGGCTTGCATTTGTGCTGACCCAGCAGTTTAACCATGAGTAAATAGATGGATACCATTTCAGCAGGCAACTTAATGGGGACACGAAAGTAGTCCCCAAGTGAGCATCCCCTGGACGATGATGATGCCACTGTCTAATTCCTTCAACCCGGAAGTGCTTTGGGACTCCCGACCCAACTGTAGTAGTACTATCCTGTACAGTAAAATGTCGAAGAATCCCAGGATGGATTAGAATGGCATGTCCCTATGCCAAAAACATAAACTTGGTTCTCAACAGGAGAGTACAGACAGGGACTTCCGGTTTGAGCTTCTTCAGTGACAGACTGAAATCTGCGATCGTGGGTGGTTTCGATCCGTGCTCGCCGCTGAAGCGCCCCGAGCCAGCTGGATTCGGGACTAAGCCATCCTGTAGAGGTGGTGAAGAGGGGGGAGTCCACCAGCAGGGTTGAGGAGAGCCACATCTCTACTCCTCAGCTGGCCATTACTCCCTTTCCCGAAGGCAGTTGCAGCGGTGGTCAGAAATGGCCTTCTCAAAGAAGAACTCGACCAGAAAAGAATGTGCAGGAGGAAGAAGAGAAAGTTTTGGTTGACTGGGTTAAACTGAAAAAGCAACAACGTAAGGTACCCTGGAATTTGAACTATAAAAAATAACATTGTTCCCAAAGAAGACTTTGAAGCAACAAAGGAGAGAGGGAAGGGAAAGGATTTGGCTTTTTTTCCCTTCCCTTCCTTATATTGACAGCTAATAGATTTAAGTAAGAAATTGACAAAAATCCACTTTGACATCAATAGGCATTTAAGCTGAAAATAAAATGTCAAAGGGATAATAAAGGCTTTTGGATACTCAAAAACCTTTAAAAGCAGGAAAGGAGAGAAAAGGAAAGAATAAAAGGGCGGGATCTGGAAAAATGAAGGAGACTGCCTGGAACTAAAAGGAACTTACAATGAAACCTTAACAAGATTCCTAAAAGATACATTCTAACTGAAACTTTGTAACAAAATAATAGAACCACAGGAAGAGAAAGTGGAAAAAAGAAGCAAGAAGAAACAGCTTTGGATTATTTGGTGATTTTTGGATTTTTGGCTACTGGATTTAAATGACTAAAATCAATCGGGTGGTTGTTTAAAAGTGTTTAAAATGGCATCACTTTTAGAAGAACTGAAAATGGAACTTAAAAAACAGAAATAAGATGCACAAGAAGGAAGAGGTTCTTTTGGCTTCGTATTTCAATTTTTAGAAATTTTGAGAAACAACAAGAAACGCTTGTAGAACAAGGTTGGGACAAAGAAGAAGCCATCTTTAATGAATAAGTAATTTTATGTGGGGAAAAAAAGGAAACGGGGGAAAGAGAGTGAAAAATTTAAGATTTGAAAAAACAACCCCCCCAAAAAGAATAGCTTGAAAAATAATTACAATATTAGGAAGCAACAGAAGAGAGGATCACAGAAGAGAGAATTAGAAGTAGAGAGACAAGGGGGCAAAAAGGGGAGGGAGAAGAAGAGGTGAAAGAAGGAAAGGAAAAGAAGTTATAAAAGACAGAAACAAGATATAGAGAAACAGGGAAAATGTATAAGGATTGAAAGTATAAACCTATTTGAGATAATGGGTGAAAATTTAATTGAAAAAGGGATTCTGCAAAGGTACATAAGATAGTATTGTTATATTAAAAATAGAAATAATTTTAGAAAATATGAAACAATATATGATTAAAATGATGGATAAAATACTTATTGTAATGCAGTGGAATGTTTGTTAATAAATAAATGAAATAAAGTGAATGAGAATGAAATTAGGAAAGGATGGGAACATTTTAATTATTATTAATGGTTTATAAAAGTATAAGTGAAGAGAAATATGGGGGGAAAAGAATTATGGAGAGTTTATAAGTGTTCACAAGGAAGTATGATATTCAATTGAAAAGAAATGTTAAAGATGTTAAGATTCTAACTAATATTAATGATAGAATTGAACTGGAATGGAATGAGTGTTTTATTTACTATTGTTTTATATATATATATGTTGTGATTGGAAGGATCGATCCTGTTGGGAGTTTTGACTCTGATGACTGTTAGATCGTGGATTGACGTCAGAACCAGGAAACGTTAATCTGAAGGGAGGCGTCAGGACAAACATTGATTGGAGCGAATGAGAAGGGCAAGCCAGTAAATTAGCACGTTGCCTTAATGGGTATAAAAGGACACAGCTGGGCTGGTGCATTTCGCAGGAACAAAATAACTATTTTGAATGAGGACGTTACAGCAAAGAGCTCTCTGTTTTGTTTGTTTGAATTTCGAAGGGGAGTCCTAACAGTTTCTGCCAGCCGTTGTCTTGTTACTTCTTTCAGTTTGATTTGATTATGAAACGGCTGCCTTCTGTTTTGTTTGTTTGAATTTCGAAGGGGAGTCCTAACAGTTTCTGCCAGCCGTTATCTTGTTACTTCTTTCAGTTTGATTTGATTGTGAAAACGGCTGCTGTTTGTTCGTTTGAATTTCCAAGAGGAGACATAACATATATATATATATATATATTTTAAGAACATAGTGTGTATTTTAAGAATGTACCAAGCAGAATTCGATTGGAAGTTATGTACTATATTGAATGTTATAATTTTAAAGGCATAAATTGAAGTTTAAATAAGAGTTGAATGGATAAAATTAAAAGATATAAAGGTGTCATACTCCAATTAGTAACTACAGGGGAAAATTCATTTAATGAGAAAAGATAATATGAAATTGAAACAGGACAGACAAAAGTATAAATATAATGATTGGAAAGACATTGAAACTTAGAAAAAGATATATAATTGAATTTAGATATGAGATAATTAAAAATAAAGTTGAGAAAACCAAGGGAGGGGAAAAATTATGGAGAAAATGTTAAAATAGTAATAAAATAGAACACAAAGATGAATATGAAATTGAGATTGTGTCTGTATGAAGAAGTGATAACCTGGGATCATGCTATTCTCAAAGAAAGCTGTTTTATTTGTATTATGTATTTGTGAAAACCCAAATAAAATTTATATTTAAAAAAAGAATAGTACAGACAGGATGTTTAGCTGATGCGCATTTGATGCCCCCAATATACTCTTTTCTGGGGGGGAAATTTTACACTTTGAGGAAATGGTTATGTTAATCATGCTTTCTCCTCACTCAAGTATGTACATTCCCATTTGTAATAATACAGGGTCTTATGCAATTTATTAAATTTCCTGGATTGCTATGAAATGCATTTCTTTCTTTTAGATTTCCCTTTGAAATCCCAATGACATAATTTTTACAATCTGGTCAAAAGCCTGGGTTAAATTGCTTTACAATTTATTTGGTTCCCTTTTTCACATGTAATGTTCAAATATTTATTCATTATTCAGGACTGAAACTTTCTAACTTCTGGTATGTTAATATAAGAATGCAGATTCAACTGCCTCCATTTTTAACTATCCCATTTATCCAGAAATGGGCAATCAAAGAGAATCAATATTTCTATCCCTCTATTGCCATTGTTTAGAAGCATTTAAGTTCCCTAGGCCTATTTCTAAAGCAATTAAAGCTTGA